GTCTCCTTTAGCATCACTCTCAGTTTTCCCTCTACTTCTCTTACTTGCTTCTCAAAATCTTTTTTGAGCTCTCCCATGGCCTGGGACCAATTCATATTTTTCTTGGATGCTTTGGATGTAGGAGCTTTGGCTTCATTGTCTTCTTCTGGTTGTATGTTTTGATCTTCTTTGTCACCAAAGTTAAGATAATATAGTCTGACTCTTTTTGCACTGCTTGCTCATGATCCAGGCCAATTACCTGAGTTGTACACTCTTTGTTAAGGTAGGGATCTGTTTCCAGTGTGGAGAATGTACTGCCTCAAGCTTCAGGGGTTTTGTGCAACTGTCCTCAGAGATACTTCTAGGGACCTGGAAATTTTCAGTTCTTCCAAAGTGCTATGATCAAGGGCAAGGTGTTTACTCCTTTCCTGTCCTGTGCTCTGCCCTAAGAGTGACCACAAGCACTCTTTTCTGTCTTGGAACTGTGAGGAGGATTTCCTTTTCATAGCCACTACAAGCTCCATCACGCCAGCTCTCCTCCTCGCCCCAGGACCACCACCTAGAACTGTGACCCAGATCCAAGCACAGGCAAAGCAAGAGAATCCTGCACCAGCAGAGAGATCCCTGCAATCCCCCTCTGATGAGCCACTTGATTCCCCCTCAGTCTGTGGGTCAGAAGCTCCTGAGGCAGCCATTGCCCCAGGGCAAGCTTGGGGAATGGGGCTGGGACCCTGTGCATCCCCCTCACCACAGAAACAGACTTTTCCTACTGACTTTCTAAGTTGCCTCTGGTGTTCATGGGTTGAAAAGTCTGGAAACCGCCACAGCTGCCTGTGATTCAGTCCTCTGAGGCCTGCTCCAGGTTTGCTGAGGCCTGTGCACCCATGCCAAACTACATTCCTCTCCCAGCCCGGAGCGATATACCTTTCCGATCAACCATCCAGGTTGTCTTGGGCTAGAAATTTGTTTCACTTCATCTTTTTGTCGGTTCTGCTGCTTTAGAATTTGTTTAGAGCCATTTTTATAGGTACTTGGAGGAGTTTGGGGGAGAGCTCAAGCAAGTCACTGCTTTTACTCCACCATCTTGGCTCTACCCCTCCCAGACTATTTTTCCTTAGGAAGCATCCACAGGCATACAAGATCCCCAGCAATGCGACCTAAGTGTCTCTGAACAAGTCTATCTGCCATGTACAAGATCACAAACCATCTGAAGAAACTGCAGTTTCTTCAAGTTCAGTAAAAAGATCAGTAAAAGCATGACTAATCTAGGTAGCTTAAAATCAGGGTCAGCACTTAGCATAGTGCTTCCAGTGCATAACACAGTGCCTGGCACATAGTAGATGCTTCATGAATGGTTACTGACCAACAAGACAGATTATTCTCAAATATTTCTTTTAGAGTACACACCAGGATCTTACTCCAAAGGCATCATTCATAACAGAAAAGTTATCTTACTGACACAAAATTACCTTACTGACCTTCATCTCCTTAATGGAAGACTTAACAATGATGGTCTCTGGCTTTCCCCTCTGAAATATGAGACCTCATTGAATTTTGTAGGTTACAAAAGAGAATATCTAAGCCACTTGGTAGTCATCATCATAAAAAATACATCTTTTATTCCTAAGTATCACTTGATGTCCTTTTCATAAGCAGTTGTTTTAAAAAGCACCTGAAGATGATAACCATGTTATTTTGGCATAGAAAATTCCTATCTCTGGTTACCATCTTCCAAGGATCAGGACTGTTTAGTGGCTACTACCCCTCATCTCCTTTTCACTGCCTTCAAATGCATGTCAGTTATCTGCAACATATTCTCACTCCGGTCTTTCTGAGTGAAATTAAAAGTAATTTACCATACATGATGAGGCTTTCTCTAATGGTCCAAACTATATACCTGTAGACAATTACAGGAATATAGACACAGAGTACAACTTTGACTAGTTTAGGAAATCAAACCCTAATGAGTTTTCAGTCTACCTGTTCTGTTGTTTAGACTAAAGTAGAAAGCATGAGCACAGTTCTGGCATTGGAGGAAACTGTATTTATGCTTGTCCTGGCTATGAGAAATTAGAATGAATGGATGGATAGATGAATGGATGAGAAAATAATTGAGCCAGGAGAAACTGAGAGATTCAGGTAGTTAAATCTGATTCTTTGACAATATGGAATGAATTAGGGGTCATAGGCCAGGAAGGAGACAAGAATCTTCAGATGAAAAACAGAGAAAATTAGAAGCAATTAAGCAGAGAAATTTAGTTTAACAGTGATGACAGGGTAGTTAACAGAAGAATCTTATGCATTACCTAAGAAGAAAAGAAGTCTCGATGTGGGAACCTGAGAAGGAAAATTATGCAATTACAGTAAAAGTTTTGTTACTTGGCATATTAGATAAATTACTCTAGCCAGGGGAGGGGAGAAAGGAAGGAGTGGTTATTGAATAATACCTCCCCCCAAAAAAACTGGGTTAAATAAAAATTATACTTAACAATGGAATATCACACCATACATAGTTTATCATAAAGAGCAATTAGAAAGTCCTTTAATTAGGGTAATCAGGCTTAGAAAGGAACCCAGGGGAGCTGGGCTGAATAGAAAAATACAAGGATTGTTAACACTTTTGCCTGTCATTTCCCAAAGAACATGGGAAGTGTTCTGCTTTGTAGCTCTGAGAAAAAACTTACCTTGTTCAATCTAATTTTATGCCAGGTTTTGGCAGAAAGCAATTCACCTATTAACTGATGGACACTATTAATTAATTAACAAGTTCCTATGTAACAGAAAACAAAAACAAAAAAAATAATTTAAATAACACTTTATATTTTTGAAGACTCATAGGTTTATATCTAGATGGATCCTTACGGCCCTTACTTTGCAGATGAGAAAACTAAGGCCCACAGAGTTTAAATGACTTATCCAAGGTTGAAATAATAGTAAAAATCCAGCACACGTTCCACTTTACGTTGCCTCCATCATTCTAAGTTGTCCCAGTAAGACAGATGACAAATGAGAAAACTGAAGGCAAGGTCCATTAAATGATTTACCCTGACAAGTCAATGGCAGGACTAGAACTAAAATATGGGCCTCAACTCCTGGCCCACTTCACTGGAGGCGGCCCAGTGACATCAGGAAGACCTGAGTTCAAATTCAGCCTCAGACACTTCCTACCTGTGTGACCCTGAGCAAGTTATTTAACTTCTCAATTATAAAATGGGGATCATTGCTTCCTAGAGTTTCTGTGAGGATTAAATAACATAATATTTGTAAAGCACTTCACAAAGTAATTAACACAGAGTCAGTACCTAACACATGCTTGCTTGCTTCCTTCAAAGGAAGGAAGTAGTCCAGTATTCTTTCCATTATACCATGCTGTCTCTAGAAGTCTTTTTAGGAAATGGTTGCAGGCAGGCATATAAAAGCTGCTACTAAGTGGTACTTGCTACTAGTTTTCATACCTGACATGCTGTCCGTCATACTACTTTTTTTTTTTGATGAGGTAATCAGGGTTAAGTGACTTGCCCAGGGTCACACAGCTAGTAAGTGTCAAGTGTCTGAGGCCAGATTTGAACTCAGGTCCTCCTGACTCCAAGGCCAGAGCTCTATCCACTGCACCACCTAGCTGGCCCTCCCCCCTCGTCATACTTCTAAATGGTACTATGTAATAGAAATTACGATGATGTATCATATCAGTCCTTAATGTTTCTGACAAAAACCCACATGGTTGGGTTCATTTTTCTCCCTTTGCATTTTTCCCATACCTTTCTCTGACCCACTAGCTAAAGAATTGGACTTATTTTTTTTATGTTTTTAGTTTATTGATTCATCTACCCAATGTTAATCGTAATTTTCCCAGATTCCAAATTTTACTGTTTCCTAAGGCTTTTGTCCAGCCCTCTGATTTTCCTTACAAACTTAGAAAGTTGCTCGGGCCCTGAAAAATTCAGTGCCTCGCATGTGGTCACACAGTGTCTCTGGAAGAACTTGAACCTGGCTCTTCCTGACTCCAAGCTAGTCCACCAGCTACTATAACACACTGACTTTTATTTCCAAAACTTACTAAATTTTATTTCCTAAGTTATTAATTAAAATTAAACTATGTTATATATAAGACCAAAAAAAGATTTTTTTTGAAAAATTCAGAGTTGAAAGCAACGTATTGAAGGTATTGAATGTTTTATGTTATACTTTTAAAAGTGTAACATTTGTTTTGTTATGATTGGGGAAATAAATTTATATTAATATTTTATGAAATACAATAAGATATGCAGTGCTTTAAAATATTATAAAGCTCCTATTAAGTAGGTATCTCTCCTGCTATTATGTTTTCCTTTTAATCATACAAAAGTATCTGTAGATTTTCAGGTATAAAAATCTAGCCCAACCACCCTACCCCCTAAAGTATACTCAAATGCTAGTCATTTGAAAAGTTTTCTCCTACCACCAGAACACACAAAAATAAGCAGCATTATCTACAACTGTTACCAAAAAAAATACTCAAAATGTTGTTACAGTCATTAAATTCACAAGATTATATCCTTTTCTCATTCAACATGCCCATACCATAGTAACATGATTGGTAATTTGCACAGGTGCACTGAAAGCTAAAGCAGCCCTTTTGCCTCTTACTAAAGCCTAATTCATGCCCTATTCATAGGATGTTTCCCAATTAGCATGTGCAAAACCCAAATGGAAAATTATTTTATGTTCTAATATGTCTATACTAAAGTCATTTGCTTGAATGGAAATTGCATTACCAGAAGAGCTGGCATTTCTGTATTTTTGTGTTTAAACTCAACATGAATACTTCATGGGCTGGAGACATACTAAACAAATTCTGGCCATCTTCTAAGAAGCCAAGAGGATAGATATGTCTTTGTTCATGGGACATAAATAATTCTTAAAAGATTTGCATGACATTCAGCACTGATTCCAGAATCAGCAGGACCAGTAATACCTAGAGTATCTGTGAAATAATGAGTTATTTTCCTACTGTGAGGCATCCTTTATAATTCCAATTTCAGCTGGAAATTCTTTGAAGAGATGATTGAACCGTATCGTCTCCATGAAAGCTGCAAAGATTTAACAACCGCTGAGAAATTAAAAAGAGAAACTCCATGGAAAATTACAGATTCAGAACTGGAAGCGTTCAAGGAAAAGGTAAAGCCTTGTCTTCTCTTAATTCCTACATTGTTGTCTGAATAGCTGAAAAGAAAACAGTGGCTGGTTGAAAGAGCAACAGTGGAAACCTCTATTATTTGCTTTCATTTTGGGGGCATTTAGAGGTTCTGCATTTTAGGTATTTTTCAATCATCTTATTAGGTATAACTACTTTAAAAACTGCTTGTTTCCATTTCTTTTGGTTTGACTTATAAAATCAGTGTTGTTTTAGAAAAGAAGAAGAGTAGATTAGCCATAAAAATTGTGAAATTTGCTTTTCTATTATCTCAAAGAATAGTAGGTATTTGTGTATAGTCATTTAAGTGTAGACTTTTTTTGGGGGGGGAGGGTTAGGCAATGGGGTTAAGTGACTTGCCCAGTGTCACACAGCTAGTAAATGTTATGTGCCTGAGGCAAAATTTGAACTCAGGTCTTCCTGAATCCAGGGCCGGTACCCTTTCCACTGTGCCACCTAACTGTCCCATGTAGACCTTTTTAAAAGCAGAAATACAGGCTGAATGGTCTATGAGCATCACCAGGTAAGTCAAGTTTTAGGTACCATTTACTTCTCCAAAAAGTGTAAAGTCCATGGAAGTCTCAGCAAAGATTTAAGTTGAACACATTCAATGAAGGGTTTAGGCAAAAGTCATTGCATTAAAAAGTCATTTTAAAGACAGTTTGGTAGTAGGGAGAATATAGGTGGTACAGTGGATAGTGTTGAGACTGGAGTCAGGAAGACTCATCTTCCTGAGTTCAAATCTAGCCTCAGACACTACTAGCTGTGCGCCCTGAGCAAGTCACTTGCCCTTTTTTGCCTCAGTTTCCTCATTGTAAAATGAACTAGAGAAGGAAATGGCAAATCGCTTCAGTATCTTTGCGACAAAAACCTCAAATGGGGTCACTAAGAGTTAAACATGACTGAAAAACAACTGAACAACAATAGTAATGAGGATCTTATAGGACTGTTATAAGTGGGACATAAGGGTGGTGATCAACTTGGATATCAGACGCAGAGTATTGACTTTCTTCAGAAAATGGTCAGAATTAAATTTAATTCAATACTCAAGTACCCAATATATATAATGTAAGCAGTACCAGGTTAAGAAAAAGTTGAAATGTGATGTCATTCTTGTCCTCCAGGAGTTTGCAAACTAATAGGAAGGATAGTATAGTACACAAATTAAGTATCAACAAGATAGAATGTAATAGGGCAAGGCAGAAATCAAAATATCATGTTCTAGGAAAATCTGAAGAGGAATCAATGATCAAAAAACTACCTTGGATTTTACAATAGAATCCATAGAACTATTATACTTATCTGTATTGAGGTCAATGGGAATTGGATTTCCAACAGTTGGTCCTTTTTCCAACTGAACTGAAAACCAAGGAAATAACAGGAAATTACACCACAGACCAGAATTTGTAGTTGGTTTAATGTATAAGTGAACTTCAATAATATAACAAACTAGAATTTATTTGTTTCATGTACAAATTAACTTCTTCCTTTTTCAAGGTTATCAAATACTTGAGGCTTTTCTCTGGTCTTAGAGATTGTTTATAAAGGATAGATGTGTCTAATTAATTGACTAACCAATCTGAGATCAATCAAAGATGAGTCCTACTAGTTCCCTTACCCCTAGAGCAATATTTACTTAAGATTAATTTCTTTCTTTGTTATCAATTTAATTCTATTCAGTTAATGCAGTTTATGATATTATTCTTTGGGGTAAAAGTAAAGAACTTGGAAAAGTTGTAGTCCTTATCTCAAATGGATTTCAAAGTCAAATAAAATATTCAAATGAACACAAAGCTATGTATTTCTGTGTGTGTGTATACACACATGTATATGGCATATAGATCTGATTTGGATCAAATGTGAACCCATTATGTCTTTTTTTTAAGTTTAGGAAGGATTTTTGGATGTGCTGAATTCTAATTTTTGCTCTAAAGGAAGGGATGTAATGTTATTCTAGGTATGAGGCTACAAAAGTGAGAAGATCCAAGGCAAAATTAGGGAGAGGTGAATACAGATTATTGTGATCAGATTAGGCTTACTGAAAACATCAATGATTGAGCAACAAAAAGCAAAAAAGTAGATGAAGTAGACTGAAAGTTTTAAAATGATACTCCATGATAAGGAGTTTAAGTCAGATTAGATATTAATGGAGACATATCAATGAAAATTTTGTTGAAGGGATATGAGGTGAGTCATATAGTGTATTCATTCATTTATGTGGCTCAAAAATTGTTTTGGCAAATAGACTGATGCACAGAACAATTTGGAAAAGAACAGATCTTATTCAGAAATGTCTTTAAATCAAGTATCACACTATCTAATATGAATGGGGGAAGTGGTAAGTAAAGATTGAGGGGGGGAAATCCATGAATGCAAGCATTTTATATGAAACTTAACACCAAATTTGAATGCTTACAATAGAGGACAGTGAGAACATCCAAACAGAATGCCAAAGAATATTTGGTTGGAAGCAGAGAATAATAAGCAATGACCAAAAAATACTAGTACTGTATTGGAAAACTAGTATAGGACTTTCTTTGCTTTATAAATGTTATTGTCTATTCAATTCAATTCGATTCAACAAACATTTATTCAGTGCCTACTATGTACCATGTACCATGCTAAGGGCTAGGGATAAAAAAAGAGGCAAAATACAGCCCTGCCTTCAAGGAGTTCATAATCTAACGAGGAAAATGCCTTCTAGAGAACCCTGCTCTTCCCTAGAAAGGAACAAGGGATCCAATTTTTAAAAAATGTTAATGTTAGCCATATTTTCTCTCTGAACTATGACATCTGAAAATATGTATCAAAATGTCTATCACTTACATACCTTTTAAAGTATAGATATAACTTTATTTCCTCCATTTTAGCCTAATTCCTCTAGCCCTCTGAACAAGAATTTATAGGTTCTATCAATATATTTCAAGCGTAGTCATGTTCCACAGCCAAATTACCTTGGGAATCACTGGTCTAGCAAACAGAGAATTGAACCAAGGCAAAATGTTGTAGCTACGTCAGATCTATCATTCTGTGACTGAGCAATTTATTTTTTCTCCTGAACCAGTGAAATGATGATAATAATTGCCATCCCTTGCTTCTGTCACTGGAACACTGTATGGATAAATTAGATTTAGCTGTTCATTCATATGTAGCAAATGACTCACTTTGAAACACGTTATTAACTATTTTATCCCACTAAGTTGCCAATTCTTACTAGAAAAAAAGCATGTACCCTCCAACCTTTAAATGGTTAATGCAACTGCTAAAAGTGGGCCAGTTATTTGTTTTTCACTGGTAGAAGTAGGTGTATTATGACTGAAAAGTGCTCTATGCTTCCTGGGAAAGATGGAATGTAATTCAACTTATTGTCTTAGAAAATCCTATTGAAATTAAGACTAGGTATACTTACCCCATCTGATCAGTTTCTTAACTCCCTACATAAAGTCCTATCTTCTTTCACTCTGTTGCCCACTTTTGAGGTTATTGTTTAATCCATTTTATTTATTTTAGAACACATTCTTTATAATAATACCTAAGGGGCACAGTGGATAAAGCTCTGGGCCTGGAGCGAAGAAGACCTGAGTTCAAATCCAGCCTCAGACACTTAATAGCTATGTGACCCTGGGCAAGTCACTTAGCCTCTGTCTGCCTCAGTTTCCTCATGTGTAAAATGGGGATAATAATAGCACCTCCCAGGGTCAAAATGAGATAATATCTGTAAAGCATTTAGCACAGTGCCTGGCACATTATATAAATGTTAGCTTATTATTATCATCATTATTCTAAAAGTTATGCAAAGGTTTCTTATAAGTTTTATATAAAAATTTTTGTAACTTGAACAGAAGCATTGCACTTATTAGCAATTAAGGTTTTAATAATTAAAAGAGAAATTTTACTCTGAGATTTGGAGATTGGATGAGATGGAGAACTATAAATAAGAAGAGCTATTAACGAGGGTGGAGAGGCAGGGCTTTGTCCCAGAGTTTCAAATTTAGAGGGTCCTTCAAACAGCGTGGTAACAAAACATAGTTAGCAAGAACAATTAAAACAGGAAGCTACAAATAAAATAGAATGGAAAGCTACAGTGATGGTGTGGTAGAATGAGCCACTCACCCACCTTACCCTGCTCCCCATTTGTTTCATCTCAGGATTCCTGACAGTAGCTTCACACTAGTGTCCCAGGGTTTCTATCTGCTGTGGAGAGAGACATTACTCTCTCTCAACTAAGGGTGCCTACCATTCCACTTACCTTAGGTGTGGTTTTGGTGACTGCTCCCAGCATAAAAATTCTTAGTTATCACTCTGGAGTGGAAGGAACATTGTCTCTAGAGGCAAGAAACCTGAGTTCAAATCTTGCCTGTGATACTTGCTACCTACCTAACCTTGGACAAGTCACTTAACATCCCTAAGCCTCAGTTTCCTCATCTGTAAAATAAGGAGTTAGACTAGATGAACTCTGAGGTCTCTTTCATCTCTAGATTTATTATCCTATAAGGCTATGAACAGGTAACAGCCCAGGCCAAAGTATCCACTGCAAAATCTGATTTATTTTCCCCAGAGTTACCGTCAAGTCCGATTGAATGAACTCTTACAGGAACACTCACGTGCTGCTAATCTTGTTGTTCTGTAAGTACCATTCCATATATGCGTGTATATGTATATATATATATATATTGTGTGTATTGTGAACATATATGTATACATGGTATATATGTGCAAATACATGTCTATATGTGCATATTATACATATAAGATATATCACATGCATATGTGTTATATATTATACATGTAATACACACATTGTGTTGTGTATATGGATGTTGCATATATGTGTATATGTTCTGTGTGTATATGTGCATATAATCGTATGTATGTTATAAGCATGTGTGTTAGATGTACATATGTTATATAAAGTATGCAACACACATCTATATATTGTGTTACAATAGCTTAAATTTTATGTGTATGTTTACATGTGTCTGCACATGTTTGTACACATATAATATAAACATATAATATCTAAACATATACTTTACATATTAATGTCACGCAGGGAAATTGTGATAATAGAAAAGTAACTATATTGACCTAAGGGTAACAAATCAAGTTAAACTGAACTAAAATTTTTTAGCATATGTGATTTTAAGGAATAAGTAGAAATATAAACTGGCACACTTTGATAGTTGAGCATGAAAGGTTTACCATCTGTTTTATAGTTTCTACCCTCTTCGAGAAGGAAGGACAAACAACAAGTTTCTACCCTCTACGAGCTGACTCCTACAGAAATATTAGTATTCAAACTGAGGCTGGGTGATAATCGCTCAGGAGTATTGTTGAAAGGAAAGTTTTGGATAGGAGCTTAAACTAGATGACCACTGAAGGTCCCTAACAACTTGAGAGTGTGTTTTACCTAAAACTCTTATGATAACATGAACTTAAGAAAAAGCAAACCTTGGCTTTTCTGAAGATCAGTAAAGCAACCGACTGGAATAACGAGAACAGTAAACCGGTCATCAGAAGATTCCAATTCTAGTTTTCTTTCTACCACTCCCTCAATGTGTAATCTTGAGTAAATCAGTTAATTTCTCTGGGTCTAAAAAAAGATAGAGTTGAATTAAGATGATCACTAAGGTACCTTCTAACTCTGAAATGATATGATTCATCCATTTTCATTATTTACTTTTCTCTCCTTCCTGTAGTTTAGCATCCAAACCTTATTTGTCTGGTTTACAAAACACTTGTATTCTCTAAGAATGAACAGTAGTTTAAGGCTTACATTCAGACTCATGTAAGTGTTTTGCTTTTTATTGATATAACCAGTCAGGATACCAGTTAACAAATAGCTTAGAAATACTATTGGCGTTAGCCTCTATCATAATTATTTTTAACTTTTGCTGTGTCTGTGTGTGTGTCTGTGTGTGTGTGTGTGTATCTTTCTTCTCTCCCTAACCCAATTCCAATAGGAGTCTTCCAGTGGCTAGAAAAGCCACTATCTCGGATATCTTGTACATGGCCTGGCTAGAAATCCTCACAAAGAACCTCCCTCCTGTCCTGCTGGTTAGAGGAAATCACAAAAATGTCCTAACTTTCTATTCATAATATACCAAGGATTTAAGCACAATTCATTTTAATATGTGAAAGGCAAAATGTCTGTCAAGCACTTTGTGTTCCAGATCTGATCTCAAGTAACTTCCAAAGACTACTCTATTGGTTCACAACCAACTCTGTCACTAATTTAAAAAAAAAAACCCTTACTAATAAAATCTAAATAATGTAAACCTATCTGCTAAAAGTGGTGCCAGCATCAGAAGAAGCAGGACCTGCTTCCAGGCAAATGTTATCATTGCTGTTAATATATGATTAAGGACATGAAAGGAAGCCATGTTTGTTGTACTTATTTTTTAAAAACCACCATAAGTGTAAACTCCTCTGGAGTAGGAATCAAATCTTCTCTTTTCATGGTATTTGCTTATGAAGTCTAACTATAGTATTCAGAAAACACATGTTGACTAACTGATTTAGTAACTCAGGCTTATTAAATGGAAAAGGACAAACTTGGCAGGAAACATGATCATTTGTAGCCTCCTGAGAGATTTATTTAACAAAGGAGGATTAAAAATCAGTAACTGAAAACTCCTGAAAAATTCCTTGTCACTAAATGTTCAAAGCATTTGGTTAAAATTGGTAATTTAATGTAATCACAGATATACTAATAATATTCAGCTTGAATTTACTGCCTACTTGAAAAAATATATATATATAGTAACTGGATTACATAAAAGCATATATTTTAATTAAACAAATGATGTATATGCTATCATTTGAATATACATTTTAATTGACCTCTATTATATAGATTAAGGTTGCCATTATAGTGCTAATTATGTGGGATGTTTTTCTAATTAGGTAGTTGGTACCTAGGAAATCTTTAAAGCCTTTTAATTTGAAAAATAAATACCACAGATTTTCATATTGTCATGTATTTCCATGCAGATACATGTATATATATAGAAAGAGAATCACACATTTAATTATGTTATGTGGTGATGACATATGTTTAAAAAAATTAATGAAAAGTTAAATTAAGAAACATTTAAGATTTGGAATATATAAATATTCATTTTTTTCTTTCATCTTGGAGACTTGTTTACCAATGGAAACCAAGCACAAAATTAGAAATAAATTTTGTTTTTTCCCAAATGAATGACTTGATCTTTGTAATTAATTTTGACTGCTTTTAATTGCTATAATATATGAACAAATCAACTTGAAATAAATAAAATGTGACTGCCTTGGTTTATTGTCATTTTTTTTTTTACCTTTTCATTATGAAGGCTGAATCAAAGGTAGTGCTTCTGAAACCTGGATCAATAATTGACACATGAACCTAGAGGAAAGGAGGGGAAAAGGAAGGAAGGAAAGGAGAGAGGGAAAAAGGAAGGGAAGGATGAACATGAAAACAAAATAACAGAAAAATAATCCAAATGATGCTTGTAGGGCTATGCAGTTGGGGGTAGGCTTGAGGGATCCAGGAGAGAGGAGGGAGAAATTTTGTAGACAAGCATTTAGTGTACTCAGGAAGCCCGCTTTGGGCGTCAGCAATGATAGCAATAATAATAGCTAATACGTAACTTCACTAAGCACTTTACAATCATCTCATTTGATCTTCATAACCTGGGAAGGTAGGTGCTATTTTTATACCCATTTTACAGATGAGGAAACTAAGGCAAGCAGCAGTTAAGTGACTTGCCCAGATATCATAAATGGATTTATAATAACTGAGGAGACAAAGTCCAAGCAATGCAATTTATCAGCAAAGCATGCAGTTGCATAACAAACCAAGTTGAGCACCCTAACTATGGATTTGGCACAAAAGCTAATACAGTCAAAAACAGGATATGACTTGAATAATCTGATTTTTTTTCTTATCAGAGGAAAGCTTTGGGACTTCCTGAGATAGTACGAGTAGGTGCAGAAGGGACAATCTCTTGATTTCTCCAAAATCAGGTGATTCATAGGAAAACAAAACCTAAGTCTCAAAATGGAGGTTGTTCACAAAATAGAATATGTTTCGATCTGCATTCAAACTCTATAGTTCTTTCTTTGGACGCGGATAGCATTTTCCATCATGAGATCTTTGGAGATGTCTTAGATCCTTAAATTGCTGAAAAGGGCTAAGTCTATCAACACTAGCCATCACACAACGTGGCTGTTACTGTTGTACAACAACATTCTCCTGGTTCTGCTCACTTCACTCAGCAGCAGTCCATACAAGTCTTTCCAGGTTTTTCTGAAATCCACCTGCTCATTTCTTATAGCACAATAGTATTTCATTATATTCCTATACCATAACTTGTTCAGCCATTCCCCAATTGATAGGCATCCCCTCAATTTCCAATTCTTTGCCACCATAAAAAGAGCTGCTATGAATATTTTTGTACAGGTGGGTCCTTTTCCCATTTTTATGATCTCTTTGGGATACAGCCCTAGAAGTGCTATTGCTGGGTCAAAGGGTATGCACATTTTTATAGCCCTTTGGGCATAGTTCCAAATTGTTCTCCAAAATGGTTGGATCATTTCACAACTCCACCAACAATGCATTAGTGTTCCAATTTTCCCACATCTTGTCCAACATTTATCATTTTCCTGTTTTGTCATGTTGGCTAGTCTGATAGGTGTGATGTGGTACCTCAGAGTTGTTTTGATCTGCATTTCTCTAATCAATAGTGATTTAGAGCATCTAACAGCCTATTATAATGCAGAGACCTGAATAAACAGAAATAAAGACCAGAGGAGCTTCATCCCCTTTCCATGTTGTTTTATAGGGTTTTGGATTGTGACCATATCTCTTTTTTGTTGTTTAAACCACCATGCTCCCAGGTTTCTAGTAGATGTTTTTCCCTACAAGTCCTATGGTATGATGAAAGACTGATAGAGGTGGGGCCAAATGGGCAGCTCCACATGTCCCAAACCAATTCAGGGGAAGGGAAAAATAAGTTTTATTCTTATCCACAGCTAAAGAACTGCCCAGGAGTCACTAGTCCCCAAGGGGCTTAAGATGAAGGAGACAGCCATTTTGCAGATAGTTTACGTGGGCCTGACTAGCCTGGCAGGGTCTTAGCAGGTGACAGTCAGCACCCTAAGTGCCTTCACAAAAGATGCCAGCTATGAAGCCATTCAATTTCAAGTTGCCAATACAAATATAATTAAAAGTGGTCTTGTCATTGGAGGTGGTGTTGTACATTGATCCAGTGGCACACAGAAAAGGATCCCCTTTAGTGACACTGGGAAACTAGACAGTTTGAATGCAATTCGCTACATCACCCAGTGGATAGAGCATCAGGCCTGGAGTCAGGAAGATTTATCTTCTGAATTCAAATCTAGCCTCAGATATTTACTGTGCTTGACTCGGTTTCCTCATCTGTAAAATGAGCTGGAGAAGATCATGGCAAACCACTCCAGTATCTTTGCCAAGAAAATATCAAATGGGGTCACAAAGAGTTAGATATGACTGAAAAACAACTGAACAACATCACCCAGGTCCTAAATGGCATCAATCCCTTCCTTTCACTTAATATATATCAGGGATGCAGGCAGGAGGATTATGAATACAGGCAGAACAATACTCTGACTCTTATAAGCTATTGTGGAAACATTAAGCTATAGAAGGAATCTACTATTTTCTAATTCAGCAAAGGTAATGGCTTGGGGAGCTGTCCAGTTGAGTTTTTTCTCTGGTGTTGGGGAAGAAAGAGCCATAAATGCAATAGCACAAATCAAACATAGTAAAAACATTATGAAACAGTATGGGGGGGGGTAGATTTCAAGTGAGAATGATGCATCCAATGGTTACTTTCTCTGATGTTGATCATGGTAGGGGTGGTCAGCAGCACTTGGAACAGAGCTTCCCAAGGAGGTAGAGTTCTTTCGTCCCCTGGAAGTTCTTGATGTAGACCTCATCTCTAGGGTGAAGGTGATATACAGAAAAGTCTAAAATCATGAAGTCTCCTCAGTCTATTTTGTAGTTCCTGTATATAAGAAGCAAGAGAAGTATCTCCTCTCAGTAATGATGTATACACTAGGGAGAAAGGTCTCACTCTTATAGGATGGTGATCAAAAAGCCTTTCAAAGGTGAGAGGTATAATTCTCCACTTGGTATGCTACAGAGATAGAATAATGCTAGAAGGAGTACACCAGGCCATCTAAGGTGTGTTTCAGTGCAAAGCTGTCCAATCATGGACTTAAGTGCTTTTTTCATATATTCAACCTGACCAGAACTCTGGGAGTGATAAGGGGTGTGAAACTGAGGAGTCACCCTGAAAGAGTACTGTATCATATCAGTGAAGTAAGACCCTCTGTCAGAATCACTACAAGACAGTGGGCCAAAACAGGACACAATCTCTTTTAGAATAATCTTAGCAAAGAACCCAGCAGTAGCTTTCACACTAGGGAAGACTTCTACCCAGTGAGTCAGTTGATCAATGATTACAACACAAACTTTATAGTGACCAGAGTTAGGCATGTTAATGAAATCAATTTGCCACTGCTCAAAAGGAGTGTAAGCTAGGGGGTGGCTGCTGAAAGTGACAGCATGAAATACATATTGATCAAATGCCTGGCAAGTAGGACAGGAAACACAAATATGCATGGCAACAGGGGTAATATAGGGAAAGATCTACACCCTTCTAATCCTATCTACAATTCCTTGTGTGCCAAAATGCTTCTCCTTATAGATGGACAGACATATCTGGTGATAGAAACTCTGAGGGAGAAGTGTCTCGCCTTCCCCAGGCCCCAGAAGGGTCTTGCCAGACCCCAGATACCAGTTTGGCATAACAACAGTGTTTTCACTTTGCAGTTTCAGGGTCATTGTCAGAGAGGTCAATGTTAGAAGCAGAAAGATGAAACACCTACACAAGACCCTCAGGGGCAGCAAGTTTTGTAACACCATCAATACTATTGTTACCTCTTGAAATAGGATCAGTAGCAATAGTGTGGGCAGGACAATGGACAATAGCCAGAGCACTAGGAAGCCACAGTGCAGATAGAAGTGCATCAATGTATTGTGTGTTCATAATGACCTTACCACGAGAAGTCAAGAAACTTCTCTGCAACCATCGTATCCTGACAGCATGACAAACCCCAAAGGCATAACAGGAGTCAGTGCAGATGGTTGTGCTTTGTCCAGCAGCCAGCACAGAGGCTGCCCAGTGTCATGGTCTGAAATCCTGGCAGTGCCTGGGTCCCAGATGCCATCTCTCATAAAAGAGGACTCATCAGTGTATAGCACGTGAACAGGGTTCTACAAGGGGATGTAAGAAAGGTCATTGAGGGGCTTCTTGACCATGTCAACAACAGAGGAACAGTCACAGAGAGACTTCCCTGAGGTAAGTATATCAGGGAGTAACATGACTGGGTTGAGAATCAAACACTTCAGAATCATATTTTCTTTGCCCAATAGTCACTTCATATCTAGAAAGTCTTTGATCAGAGAAAGCTTGAGTGCAGTGTCTCAAAAAGAGAACCTCAACTTTATGGAGGCACTGTACTACAAATAGGGCCCCTAAAACCACATCATCAACATACTAAATCAGACAGGAGACTTTGAAAGTAATGGAAGCCAAATCCTGAAGTAAGATTTGAGAGAACTGGGAGAGGCTTTATACCCCTTAGGAAGACAAATCCACATCCATTGTGTGTTCTTCCAGGTAAAAGCAAACAGGCATTGAGAGTCTAGGTGAATAGGGATGCTAAAAAAAAAAAAAAAGCTGAGCAAAGACCTATCACAGTGAAAACAGGCAGCCTCACAGAAAATTGAGGAGATGATGGTTGTTGGATTGGGAATTAATGGGTGTCTGGGTATGACATAAGCATTAATAGTATATAAGTCTTACACAAAGGGATAAACTGATTTACCATCAGGGCCTGGCTTGGGTTTCTTAAAAGGGAGGATCAGGGGCAGCTAGGTGGCACAGTGGATAGAGCACCCGCCCTGAAGTCAGGAGAACCTGAGTTCAAATTTGGCCTCAGAGACTTGACACTTACTAGCTATGTGACCCTGGGCAAGTCACTTAATCCCATTGCCTAGCAAAAAAAAAAGGGGGGGGGATCAGAGCATTACAAGGAGATTTAAATGGAACAACAATACCTCAGTCCCTCAGAGAGTCAGTAATGGGTATGATGCCTTCAATGGCCTCCCTGGACAACAAACATTGAGGAATGGGTGGTGTGAGGCCTCCCTTGGTCTTGATGGTGACAGGGACAGCAGAATTTAACAATCCTACATCTATGAATGAAGTCGCCCATAGAGAATCAGGGATGTTAGATGGGGTCCCTAAACTATCGTCAGGGGTCTTTTGGGCATTCTGAACCAATACAAAGAACAAAGAGAGGGAGTCCTCAGGGGGTTGCAAAGACAGAGATCCAATGGAGAAGCAGAAAATAGTGGTCCTAAGTTTACAAAGGAGATCACAGCCCAAGAGGTTAAGAGGAGAGGGGCATAAGGAGAAAAGAATGCTCTAGAGAGGATGAACAGTAAGCACATGGGAAGACAATTTGGGGAAGCTCTGAGGCTTCCCCAAAATCCCAATGACATTTAAAGATTCAATAGAAATACAGGCAGAATCTGGTTTACTCATCAAAACTGAATAGAAGCTCCAGTATCTAATAAGCATTATAAATCATGTTACCATATTTAAAGGAGATATAGGGTTCACTGGTATGGGGAGAGGTAGAGACTGGAGCAGTCAGGGCAAAGACATCAGGATTGAGAAAAATGCCAACAGTTCCTTGGAATTTATTATTACAATTTTCTAAGTAAACAGCACACACCTCCATGCCCCTGATTAAGGACTCCTTGGCCTATTGTAATTTGGTAGAATTGGCCAGGACATTGGGGTTCCAATGTGGATCTTGAAGAAGCCAATTAGGAAGAACTGCAAAACCAGCAGGTACCTCCCCACCCCCGCCTGCAGTGGGGCTTGTCTGTTTGTAGCCTCTATAATAGTAGTTCTTTCCCCTGGGGGGAGCAAAAGTTTCTACTAAATCAGTAATGTCTCCCTAAGTAGAGTTATAACCCCTAAAACTGGCCTGAAATTGGGTCACTACAGCCCCAGGATCCTCATCAAATTTAAGAGTATTTCTCCTCCATGTAGAGAGATCAGAGGGACTAAAATACTGATGATTTCTTATGAGTGGTATAATTCCCAGGTTAGTTAGATCAGGCACAAACCTTTCTTGGACAGGAAAGACAGGTCCCTCATGTTCAGAAGAGATCAAATCTCCTTTTATAGTAGGAGAGGAGAAGGAAGATAGAGAAGGAAGGAGGAGGGGATGCCTGCACAGGAGAAGGTTTAGCGGCATGAAATAGAGAAGCAAAGACTATTAGGATTCCCTTAAAGCCAAAGAGGAAAAAAAAAGTTTAAGGCAAATATAAAGAATAGAGTATAATTGAACCTTCCATAGGGTCAGGGTTTAAAGTCAACACGTAAAGTAAAAATCTATATAGTCAAAATTACCCTTCAAAATCTCTCAAGTTGGCAATAATACATACATATATATAATACGTATATATCCAGCACCCTCCCCTTCAGAATTTCTCTGCCCTCATCTCCTTTCTCCTCTGTTGCCCCAGGGAGATTTTTCCAACCTTGTGTCTATGCCCCATGTAGTAAAATGTACTCCATTTGCCAAGTTTTTATATCACTGAAGGGTTTTTTTTAGCCTCTTTAAGCAGTTGTTGCTAAAAAGGGGGTAGATTCCTTTCAAAGAGGGCAGTCTGTGGTGACAGCAGATGGTAGCTTTAGAAACAATTAAGGATAGCTTGTTTTTACCATACTAGTTAAGCTATTGGCTAAGAGAGAAATGGAAACCGGGATTTCTACTCTAACAGAAGGAAGCAAAAACAGATAATGACCTAATTGACAGGAAAACTGATAATTAGGGGGGAAATACTCTTGAAAGGGCTTCACAGACAGGTGAGATTATTTCAGAAGGTAATCCTATTAGATTTTGGTGATTATATTAGAAGTTCCCAACCAATCTCTGCATTATCCTTGACTCTTCAATCTCCTTCACCTCATATAATCAATCGGCTGCAAAATCTTGTCTTTTCTTCTTCCATATTTCTCATATTCTAGCCCTTCTCATTATTCAAATAGACACCACCACCCTAGGTCAGGTCCTCAATATATTGTCACCCTATTCAATAAACTCCAATGGCTTCCTATTACCTTTAGGATAAAACATAAACTACCTTGTATAGAAAGCTCTTTCCAATGTGACCTCAAAATACCTTTTCAGATTCATTATCTCCTTATCTATATTACTCATTCTAAAATCTAGCCAAACTGTCCTTCTCACATATGACACTCCATCTCCATTGCCTCCCTCAATTGTATGTAAGCTCCTTGAGAGCAAGAGCAGTTTCATTTTCATCTTTGTAAATACCAGAAATTAACACAATGTGGTATATAGCAACATAGTATATGCTTACTAAGTTAATGAAGATGACCAGGGCTTCTGCTCTACTTCAACACTCTGCAAACCACTGGTGCTATCATCTTTCAACCTACTGCTGTAACTTAAGGACCTCTGGGCCTTGCTATCCACCCCTCTGCTGCACATTAGGATTTCTAGGCCTTTCCATCTACTCTGTAGCTGAATTGTATTTTCTATATTGTTAGAACATGAGTTCCAGGAGAACAAAGACTACCTAGATTTTTCTGCTTGTGTCTCCAGTACTTAGCACATAGCTTGTCACATTCATTAATTCATTCATTCATGTTGACTGACTGAAGGAAAATTTTTTTTAAAATATATTATTTGCTCTCTTTTTGGCAGAGAAAGTGCCAGCAGATGCCTATATAATCTATGTGAAGCTTGTTATCTATTTTCCCAAACTCCTCATCTATTTCTTCTTTTTGTCCAGGTGGTCTATAATCTCCAATAATGGCATTCATTCTGTTTCCAGTTCCTTTGATTTTTTAAAAAAAATTATCCTGGATTTAACGAATGCCAAATAAAATTA